CCGAAATCTAAAATGTTTGATTCAGAACAAGCAAAGTAAAAGTCAACTAAAATCAACCTGGTCAGAGATCGATATTGTTAGTAAGAACATACTTACCTGACGATTCCTTTAATCAATATCACTATATAGATATATTATAGACTTACCTGACAATACCTGTATATCAATATAGATATATTGATATATATAACAACAGTCGACCTGACCCAGAGTTATAATTCTACTGTCACGTTCTGAAAGAATTATAAATTATTTATGATATATACAGCTATACAATAGTTTTATACCTGTTTCTCAGGTAAAATACTGGGTATTTCCCAGCCCCTTATTCAATTGCAGATACAAGTCCTGTACTTGAGATCAAACATTGAAATAAAATCTTGAATACTTTGATTAATTTGTCTCTGATAGTCGTCAAAATCGTCAAAATCGTCAAACTTCTGTTGTATTAATTATAATTAATTGTATTCAGTTCACAGTATTAATTAATAATTACATTTCACTGTCTTTTCTACTCTACTATATCTTGATTATATCTTGATTATATCTTGACTATCTCTGGACTATCTCTTGACTATCTCTTGACTATATCTTGACTATATCTTTACTATCTCTTGACCATATCTTTACTATATCTTTACTATCTCTTTACTATCTCTTTACTATCACTTTACTATCTCTTTACTATATCTTTACTATCTCTTTACTACATCTTTACTATCTCTTTACTATATCTTTACTATCACTTTACTATCTCTTTACTATCTCTTTACTATCTCTTTACTATATCTTTACTATCTCTTTACTATATCTTTACTACATCTTTACTATCTCTTTACTACATCTTTACTATCTCTTTACTATCTCTTTACTACATCTTTACTATCTCTTTACTACATCTTTACTATCTCTTTACTACATCTTTACTATCTCTTTACTAATCTTCTCTGTTTCTGAGTTCTATTCATCTTAACCTTTTACCTTGTCCTTTATGAGCTTTTGTAGTGACCATCTGAGTTGTTTTCTGTCTGACCTGTATGGTCATTCTGTTGTAGTGACCATCTGAGATGTGTTCTGTCTGACCTGTATGGTCATTCTGTTGTAGTGACCATCTGAGTTGTTTTCTGTCTGATCTGTATGGTCATTCTGTTGTAGTGACCATCTGAGTTGTTTTCTGTCTGACCTGTATGGTCATTCTGTTGTAGTGACCATCTGAGTTGTTTTCTGTCTGACCTGTATGGTCATTCTGTGGTAGTGACCATCTGAGTTGTTTTCTGTCTGACCTGTATGGTCATTCTGTTGTAGTGACCATCTGAGTTGTTTTCTGTCTGATCTGTATGGTCATTCTGTTGTAGTGACCAACTGAGTTGTTTTCTGTCTGATCTGTATGGTCATTCTGTTGT